GCCTTGCATGCAGCCGAACCAGGTTCAATTACCAGCATCCCATGGTCCTGAGCACCGCCAGGAGTAACTCCTGAGTGCAGAGCCAGGAGTAACCCCTGAGCATCGCCGGGTGTGACCCAAAAAGCAAAAAATAAAAAATAAATTTTAAAAAAAAAGTTTTTTCAGACCAGAGCGCTAAACAGTCCAGTAGGTGGGCACTTGCCTTGCATGTGGCCAACCCGAGTTCCATCCCAGGCACCCCAAGTGTTCCCCACCCACCCACCCACCCTGAGCACTGCCAGGAGCGATCCCTGAGTGAAGAGCCAGGAGTCAGCCCTAAGCATGGCTGGGTCCGAATAGCTAGTTCAGAGGTAAAGAGCACACAAGAAGGCCAATCCACGTTTCAGTTTTGTATTTTATTTATTTTGTTTTAAATACACCCAAATAAACCAATTTTTCCCCCCTTGGCCAGGGTACTTGCCTTGTACGCAGCCTCCCCCAGTTCAATCCCTGGCACAGGATTGATCCTGAGCACAGAGCCAGGAATAAGCCCTGAGCAACATGGGGCAAGCCCCGTCACCCACACTGCTCCTCACTCCAAAAAAAACACCTAAATCAGGGGCCCAAGTGATAGTACAGCAGGTAGGGTGTTTGCCTTGCACAAGGCTGACCTGGGTTCAATCCCCGGTATCCCATATGGTCCCCCAAGCACTGCCAGGAGTAACGCCTGAGCATCGCTGGGTGTGACCCAAAAAGGGAAAAAAAAAAAAAAAACCTAAATCAGATCAGGGCAGGGAACAGCACAGGCCCTGGTGTGCCTGCCTCACGAGTGCCCGCCACGAGTTCAAATCCCTGGCTGCCTTCAGTGTGGACAGCTGAGGCCACACTGCAATGTGGGCCTGGTGGCTTTGCGTTCTTGGATCCTGGCACCCCAAGTGAGTTCCAGCCAGGCCATATGTAGGAAAGTGCAGTGGGAGCACCACAAAAGGAGTGAAGCCCCCAAGAATGTGCAAGTGCCTGGGCCAGGAAGCAAAGGATGTGCAGCCCTGGGGGGGGAGGGGGGACAGCGAGTCCCGCCTTGAGAGGACAGGTCCCCTGTCCAGCCTGGCCCCTCTGGGTGCCGCGCCCAGGCCCCAGCACCTCAAGGACTCTCAATTCCAGGTGACAACGGGACCTGAGGGCAGTCTGGCTGGGAGGAAATTAATTAGTAAGCGACTAAGAGGTGTTGGGGCCAGGAGGGGATGAGGTTAGATTTCCAGGCCCACACAGAATGCTGAGACGCTGTAACACCTGCTCTACAGGCTCCCAAGGTTTTTCGTTTTTCTTTTTTTGCTTTTTGGGTCAAACATGGCAATGCAGAGGGGTTACTCCTGGCTCTGCACTCAGAAGTTACTCCTGGCAGTGCTCAGGGGACCATACGGGATGCTGGGAATCGAACCCAGGTCAGTCGTGTGCAAGGCAAATGCCCTACCCTGTGCTATCGGTCCAGCCCCTTGTTTTTCTTTTTAATCTTCCAGATACAATGGTTTCCCCAACCGAATGATAACTGTGAAGCATGCAGCCAGCCCCTGAGCACCACTCAGTGTGGCCCCCAAACAAATTAAATTCCTAACTCCATCCTGGACTAAACTCCTGACTCCTTTAAAGCGACAGGGGCCCTGCAGGACATGGTAGAGGGCGGAGGGCGCGTGTCTTGCTTGCACCCAGCAGACCCAAGTTCAATCCCAGGCACCCCGTGTGGTCCCCAGAGCCCACTAAGAGAGATCGCTTATGCACAGCCGGTGTGGCCAAACACAAATGAAAATCAGAAATAAATAAAACTACAAACAGAGGGTAGGGCATTTGCCTTGCACGCGGCCAACATAGCCGACCCGAATTCGATTACTCCGCCCCTCTCGGAGAGCCCGGCAAGCTACCGAGAGTATTCGATATGCCAGACACAGTAACAACAAAGTCTCCAATAGAGACGTTACTGGGCCTGCTCGAGCAAAGAGCAAATCGATGATCAACGGGAGGGCCTTTACCTTTACAAACTTGCTAAACTTTATTCTGTCATGGTAACAAAAAAGAACTCCATTTCCAAGCACTCTACATTGAACAGTTCTAATCACTTATGGGCTTTCAGGTCTAATTTTTTTTTCTTTTTGGGTCAAACCCAGCAATGCTCAGACGTTACTCCTGGCTCTGCACTCAAGAATCACTTCTGGAGGTACTTGGGGAACCATATGGGACGCTGGGGATGGAACCCAGGTTGGCCCATGCAAGGCAAAGGCCCTACCCGCTGTACTATCCCTCAGGTCTAGTTTTTTTTTCCCTTTTTGGGTCACACCCAGCACTGCACAGGGGGTTATTCCTGGCTCATGCAATCAGGAATCACTCCTGGTGGTGCTCGGGGCACCATATGGGATGCTGGGAATCAAACCCGGGTAGGCCACGTGCAAGGCAAACGCCCTACCCGCTGTGCTATCGCTCCAGCCCTCCTCAGGTCTAGTTTTTAAAGTAATAAAAAACACTTAGAAAAAACTTCCCTCACTCATAGGTGACTCTGACAGCAAGCAGTGGGGTTCTCCCCATCACTCAGCCCCACCTCAGCCCCCCAGAATCAGATTCTGGGCTGGGGCCCTGGGGTGGGCCTAACCCACTGGTCCAGGGATGCTGGTGCCAGCAGGGCAGAGAGCTTTGGACAATACAGAGTCCTGCTGCCAACTTTCAAGTCTTGGAGTCAGTGTTTCCTCACTGGGGTAGAACTGCACTGCACTGTCCTCCCGTTGTTCATCAATTTGCTCGAGCAGGCCCAGTAATATCTCCATTGTGAGACTTGTTGTTACTGTGTTTGGCATATCGAATTCGTCACAGCCTTTGCTGTGCAGGTGAGATACTCTCTATATGGGCTCTTTGAGAGGAGTGGAGGAATCGAACCCGGGTTGGTGACCCGGCCGCAAGCAAGGAAAACGCCTTACCCTGTGCTATCAGAAGTAAATCACACAGCCGCGATAGGCTGGCCCCCACCAATAAGCAGGGATTACCCAGTTACTGAGGTTAAGAGAGCAGCACAAGGTGGGGTCTGCATAACTAGTTCAGTGGTAAAGAGCACCAATCCAGGCTTTGGGTTTTTTTTTCCTTGAACCACACCCAAAAATGCTCTCCTGGCTCCTGGAGGTGCTCAGGGGACCACATGGGGTGCTGGAAATTGAACCCAGGACAGCTGTGTACAAGGCAAACACCCTACCTGCTGTACTATCTCTCCAACCCTGCCAATCCAGATCTGATCCCCAGCACGTGATCAACCAGGTGCCCCAGGAATGATCAAAGAGCACGGAGCCAGGAGTAAGCCCTGGGCACGGCAGGGCGTGGCCCAAAACCCAAACAAACAAAAAAGTATTGCCAGGGTAGGGAAGGGGAGGGCCCTTGCAGTCAAGTACAGGCCTTCCATGCAGAGGAGGGTGCCAGCCCCAGCAAGCGTGTGCACACACACCCACACACACCCACACACCCACACACACACACACACAATGTCGGAAACGGAATCTCCAAAAGCTAGCTGCAGTCACCACCTCAAAAGGCAGAGAAGGGGAGAAAGATAAGGGCAGGGAGAGATTTAATCCCTACTCTGAACACCAAGGGCAGAGAACAAAATGCACAAGGACACAGGACAAAAACCCAAGCTCCTGGAGGAAAAGACACCCTCCCCGGAGGGGGAAACCGGGAACAAAATGTGGCTGGCAACACCAGGCTCTGCACCGGAGCCGCCTGAAATCGTGCCAGAGCACAGCGGGTGCGCCCGGGCACCGGCGGCAGCAGCAGGGACGGCGGACGGCCGCGCAGACAAGAGCACAAAGCGTGCGGCAGAGAAACAACCCGACAACCCACAGAGCCTCCGAATCACGGGCCGCTCGCTCAAAAAAAAAAAAAAAAAAAGACACAAGGACACCTTCTCTCTTGCAAAACTAACTTCCCTTTTGTTTCCTGCACACCTAGAGGCGGCAGCTAGGCCCCGGGGCTGTTGTCAAGACTTTATCAGAATTCTGCAGGGGACACGGCGGTTCGCAGGAGGGAGCCCTGGCCAGCAAGCCCGACCTCGGCGCACTCAGGGGCCGGGGAGGTGTAGCACAGCCGGGAGGGGGGCTTCGCCTTGCACCCGGTTCGACCCCCGGCACTCCATATGGAGCACGGCCAGGAGAGATCCCTGGGCGCCCAGCCAGGAGTAGCCCAGGTGTGGGTCAAAAACAAACGTGGGGGAGGGGGGGCGGGGGAGTGTAGCGCTCTCCTCGTTAAAGGGCACAACTTGCCGGAGCGAAAGTGGAGGGGTGGGAGAGGAGGGAGGGAGGGAGGGAGGCCCGCTTTTCCGTCCGCGGCCCCCGCTCGGGCCCAGGCTTTCCTTCCGGGCATTGTATTTATTTCCATCCCCCCCCTCCTTCCCCCAACCCCCCCCCACGCCGGCCAGCGCGCAGCCCCGCGGGGCCGGCGCACCGGCCCGGGACAAAGCCCACCCCGGGCTCCACCTGGGAGCGCGCAGGGGGGGCGGGGCAACGCAGTTGCCAGGCAGCAGGGCCCGCCCCCGCCGAGCCGCCGACCAATGGGGCGCGCCCGCCGCCCGGGCGCTCGAGCCCCGGAGCCTGCCGGCCGGGCGCGACCCCTCGGCTCGGGCCGGCGCGGCGCGCGCACCCGCCGCGCCCGCGCCGGCCAATCAGCGGCCGCGGCCGGCGCCGCTCGCTCGCGCGCGACCGGGCCTCACGCGTGAGCCGCCCCCCCCATCACCACCACACACACACACCGCCCGCCCCTCCCCCCGCGCACCCCGGCGCGCGAGCGCGCGCGCGTGCGAAACTGTCGTCCCCCGCGACCGGCCGCGCCGGCTCCCGCCCCACCCCCCCGCGCCCGCGGGCCGGCCGGCGGGTGGGGGGCGGGGGGCGACGGGGGCAGCCCCCGCTCGGCGGCGGCCACCCGGCCCGGCCCGGCCCGGCCCGGCGAGCCAGCGGGCCGGCCCGCGGGTGGCAGCCGGGCGGGGGCGGGGGACTCACCCGAGTGCGGCCGCCTCCAGGCAGCGCCGGGGCCGGGGGCGTCGACGGGAAGCGAGCGTGTGGGCCGCGCGCGGGCTGCGGCCGCCACGGAGCGGCGTCGGGGCGGCGGGCGAGCCGGGCGAGCGGGGCCGGAGGGGAGGGCGAGGGGCCCGTGCGTCTCGGCCGAGCGCCTGTCACCGCCGCATGGCCGCCCGGCAGGGCCTTCGCCAACGCCTCAACCCGATCCCGGGGACCGCGGAAGACGCCGGGGGAGCCGCGGCGGGCGGGCGGCCGCGGCCGGAGAGCGCGTGCGGGGAAGCGGGGGGGCAGCCGGTGGCCCCTTTTCTCTGCACTCCGAGCTTCACTCTCACCCTCCTCCTCCTCCTCTTTTTTTTTTTTTTTTTTGTTCCTCGAAGGCGCGCTGCGCCTGCGCACCCGCAGCGCCGCCCAGCGGGAGTTGTAGTTTCCGGTCCGCGGCCGCCAAGGCGCGGGCGGGGGCGGCGGACTACAACTCCCAGGATGCCGCGCGCCGCCGAGCCGGGGAGCCCGAGGACGCGGCGAGCGCGGCGCCCGGCCCTCTCCAGCAAGGACTGTCAATGGAGGCGCGGGTGGTGGGAGCAAGAACATGGCTGCACCTGGGGCCTGCGCGGCCGTCCGGGTGGGGGAGGGGAGCCGGGGCGCCCGAGCGGCCAGCTAGGCCGGGGGCGGCCCGGGCCGGCGCCTGGCCGCGCGCCGGCCGGCCTCCGCCGCCCTCCGGGGCTCGCCCTTCCCTCCTGCACCCCGAAATTCCTTGCAAACTGCGAGGCCGCAACCCCGGCGGAGACCGGGGAGCCCCAGGCCAACCTCGCCGCCCTCGGTGCCCTGCCAAGGGACTTTCCCCGCCCGGCACCACCCTCCGGGACACAAAGAACTCCTGTTAGTTTGCAGAGCTCGCCTCCGGAGCGGCTCGGAGCGACTGTTGCAACCCCAACTTGGGACGGGGCGCCGATCGAGGACGCTTCTGGGTTTTTTGTGTGTGTGTTTTTGTTGTTGTTTTTATGAACCATCCCTCTCCGATCCAGGCTTTCCGTCCAGCTCGGTCGCCCGCTCCACATTTGGAAGTTGAGGAGGAAAAAGCCAGGGGATCGGAAAACCGAACTTGGAGCGACAGTTAGTCCAGCAACCGTTAAACACTTTTATTCAAACCCCTCCCCCCACGGTGCGGGGTGTGTGTGTGTGTGTGTGTGTGTGTGTGTGTGTGTGTGTGTGTGTGTGTGTGTGTTTTCCAACTTTCATGAGCCCGTGAATTGGCAGAAAACGTTGAGACCAACCCTGTTCACCAAAATTAAACGCGAAAGTTTTTTTTCAGTGCATGAACTCAGATTTTCAGTGTTGCTTTGCAGCGCTAGCTCGAGCGATTCTAGCCCAGATTTTTCTTTCTCCGCCGGCGGCCGCCGCCTCCCTGTCCTGGGTAGGTGACGACCACGGCGCTTTTTCCAGCCTCCAAGCCTTTGTCGCTCCCCAGAAAACTTTCCGAGCCGCCCGTCCTTTTGATGTGGGTCCAAGACCTTCCCTTTGAATTGGGATTCTCGATTGGCGGCTCCCCGGCTCCTTTCTTGCACCGGCCGCACCCAGACAGCCTCAGAGAGAATTTCCCCGCGTTGATTTCTTTGAAATCGATTGCAGATCAGTTTCTCGGGCCCTGCAACCTGATCACAGAAGACCGATCCTCTCCTCCGCGTTCTCCCCTTCGCCCCTCGCCTAATTCAATTGCGACTCCTTAGTGGAGCCTCTCCAAAGTGTTAATTAAGTTTTCCCGAGACCAGCTTGCTTTCCGCGCTCGTATTTCATTAACATTTTGGAATATCTAATTAAATGCCATTATTCCCAATACCACGGAGCCCTGATTCCGGAGAAGCGCTCTCCCACGGCCCCGGCGCCCTGCAAATTCCAGCTGCTGTGGGTGCAAGGACCCGGGGAGGTGGGGAGGTTCGGAACCGTGGAGGGCGTGATGGAGCCTGGGCGGCCCACCAGGAGCGTGCTGGCTGGTTCGTAAGGCAAAGTGGAGCTGCTCCTTTTGGAACCGTGACCCTTGTCATCATCAAAAACTTGCTTAGCACATAGTTCCTTTGGGCTATAAATCTGTTTAACAGCCTGGGATTTGTCATTGCTGCTGTTTTCGTTGTTGCAATGCCTTTGAAGCAACAACTGCAATTTTTTGGGAAACAGTTCCTAAAAACTAAATTGCCTGGAGCCAGGAAGCTGGCGCTTTAGGGATAAGGAAGTGTGGTCCTTTGAACACTTACCTCGCTGGCCTGCCTCTAGGTCTCTGCTTGATTGCTTGCTTGCTCTTTCTCCCGGTCTCTTTTTTTCATTGTTCTTTTTGGGTTCTTTTGTTTTGGGGCCACACCCAGTGGTACTCAGGGTTTACTCCTAACTCTGTGCTCTGGGATTACTCCTGGCGGGGATTATTCCTGGTGGTTCTGGCGTTCTTCTGGCGTTGCGGGGCTTGAACCTGGTTTGGCCAGCTCAAGGCTAAATGCCCTCCCAGCTCTGGCCCCTTAAGTTCTCTCTTGAACAGTAGTCCTTTCCTCTGCCCCTCCCCCATCTTTCTAAGCAAGTGTTGGTCAATAAAAGCTATCTTACAGGGCCAAAGAGAGTACAATGGGTAGGACAGTGATCTTGCATAGGCCACATCCTGTATGGTCCACAAGCCCACCAGGAATAATTCTTGGTGCAGAACCAGAAGTAATTCCTGAGCACCACCAAGTGTGACCCAAAACCAAAAAGAAAAAAACTCTCTGACTTCACAAAAATAAACTGTGTTTTGAATCCCTTGTGTAAAGGCCAAGCTTTTTGGTTCTGCTGTGTGTGTGGTCCTCAAATGCACACCCCACATTCCTAAATGTTTCTATTCCGAGGTGTCACCGCCAGCCCACAGAGACCCAACAGTCCACTTGGTGCACTGTTGAAAACCATCCCCCCAGCAGGCTGACAGTGATGGACTAATAAAGGAATAGGGGCCACCAGGCTGGTTGTTAATCAGTGGCTGTTTATTCAAATCTCACAGCATTACTTGTAGAGAAATCATGAAGGGTTGGGGTAGCAATTACATGTAGGTGTGGTCGAACATTATCAGAAGCAATGAACAGATGTAAAGCCTTCCTTCAGGGGAAGTTCTCAGAGATACTCAAGGACAAAATCCTATCTAAGTGCTCAGCACTCTCTATTCCTGCTAGGAGATCCGCCCAAGGGCAGAATTCTATCTTAGGATGTACTGCTTTCTCCTATCCATTTACACAATCATCGTAAATTTACTTCTTAATAATATCTCAAGTCATTTTGTATGAACTCAGTAGGAGATATATTAAGCTTAAAGGATGGCTCTTCCTGGGGATCTCTCCTTATATAACCCAGACTACAGTCTTCAGGCCAGGTTAGTCTTTCCTAACCCCAGCAGGGTCTTTATTCAGTCATTTGTTTTGGGGTCATGTCAGAGTTTGTTCGATGACCGTGCTCTTAACTTACTATTTTTTTTTATGTAGGAGTACTGCTATTTATTCAGCCACTGATTAGCTGATTGAATTGTGCATGAACTCCACTTCACTTACTATATTTCTTATGGTGCCTGTCTCTTATTCCCTTTTTTTTTTTTAACTCTGGAACATTTTTTTTTGGAGGGGACTCAAACCCAATGTTGCTCAAGTGTTACTCATGGCTCTGTGTGTTTGGGGGACCATAGGGGATGCCAGGGATTGAACTCGGGTTGGCTGCATGCAAGGCAAACGCCCTATCCACTATACTACCACTCCGGCCCTCGCCTGTTCCTTTTTGGTGCCCTGGATCATCCTTGTCCCTCTCTGGGACCCTTCTTTTCGGGTATTAGGAACCAAGGGCAACTGAGACTTACGTAAATATGATGGATGCCAAAGAGTAAATATTAGTTGGTGTCAATTAACTCCTAAGTTACATGAGCATAGCATTAACTGTCTTCCTGTGTCTATACAAAAAAAAGGACATAGCTCTAAAGTAAACTATGCCTATGCATTGGACAAAAAGGAAAGAGAAAAGTATTAATTCACTTACACATCAAAATCCAGAGCCCTCAGAAGATTTTGACCTACAGGTCTGATATGGGGATAAGTGATTCATAGGGAAGACTTATAAAAAGGAGATGTTAGGGGCTGGAGCAATAGCACAGCGGGTAGGGCGTTTGCCTTGCACACGGCCAACCCGGGTTCGATTCCCAGCATCCCATAATCCCATATGGTCCCCTGAGCAGCACCAGGAGTAATTCTTGAGTGCAGAGCCAGGAGTAATCCCTGTGCATCGCCGGGTGTGACCCAGAAAGCAAAAAAAAAAAAAAAAAAAGGAGCCATTAAAGATAAACACAGAGGATTGGGAGTCCCTGATGGAATTGGGCGTGCCTGGGGAGCACTGTGGGGAAGTAATAAACCCTAAATTCTCTGCAAGGAGGGGGTGAAGGAGAGAGGGGGTGAGGACAAACCAACGATTTTGGTTTTTTGGGGGGGTATTCTTTCTTTTGGGGTCACACAGCAATGCACAGACAGGGGTTACTCCTGGCTCTGCACTCAGGAATTACTCCTGGCGGTGCTCAGGGGACCATATGGGTTGCTGGGAATCAAACCCAGGTCAGCTGTGTACAAGGCAAACATGCCCTACCTGCTGTGCCATTGCTCCAACCCCACCAGTGTTATTTCTTAAAATGCTTTGAACTGTTATCCAATTGGAGCTGGAGCGATAACACAACGGATAGGGCATTTGCCTTGCACATGGCCAACTCGGGTTTGACTCCCAGCATCCCATATGGTTCCCTGAGCACCGCCAGGAGTGATTCCTAAGTGCAAAGCCAGAAGTAACCCCTGAGCATCGCCGGGTATGACCCAAAAAGAAAAAAAAAATTTAAAAATGAACTGTTATCCAATACCTAAATGTCATACTTTTTTGGGGGTCTCCCTCAGGTCTTTCTGATTGGCACAGTTGATGTTCTTCACCAATGTGCCCCTCGTTTCACAGGTTCAGACAGGTTAGTAATGGTGACCTTAATTCTTTATGTTTTGTTTTCTTAGGTCACACTCTGTAGTGCTCAGGGCCTACTTCTGGCTCTAGAACCACTCTTGGCTGGGCTCAGGAACCATCTACAGTGCCAGAGATCGAACCCAGGTTGGCTCCTCACTTGGCAAGCACCCCACCCACTGGACTATCTCTCCAGTCCTTAGAGATTAGTTCTGCAGCCTCTGGGATACCATGACCCAGCACAGTCAGTGGCTTTTTCCAACATAAGACCAGGTTTATGCTTTGGGGGCGGTTGAATCCAGATTAGAAAGCAAAGCATTGATCTGGTTTTAGGTACAATATAATAAGGAACTTTCCGTAGTTTGTTTTTTGTTTGTTTTTTG